ATGTTTCCCCAAAACAATCATTTCTGATAGTTGCAGAGTGGCAAATTTTCCAACTCCACCACTCTCTCTGTATTTACCATGACATTTTCTTTTTAGGAACATCTTTCCTCTTTCTCCCACTTCTCTCGTTCTCATTAGTATAGACTCATGGATTTGTATTTTATTCAATGGATCATAATTTATCATTGTTCTTATTTTGATACTTGAGTTATCCCAGATTTGACCAAGGAGAGGCCCTTTAAACTAACTCCTGTTGACATGCCCCCATTTTATTTTCTGAGCATTCCTTATTTCTGGATTCCTCATTTCTTTTCTTTTTTTTTTTTTTAGATTTTATTTATTTATTTGAGAGAGAGAGGGTGAGTGTGAGAGAGAGAGAAAGCACAAGCTGGGGGAGGGGCAGAGGAAGAGGGAGGAGCAGATTCCCCACTGAGCAGGGAGCCTGATGTGGGACTCGATCCTAGGACCCTGGGATCATGACCTGAGCCGAAGGCAGATGCTTAACCAACTGAGCCACCCAGGCGCTCCTGGATTCCTCATTTGTTGTACCTTCCTGCCCTAGCCCTGAAATCAGCTGTTTCTCTCAGAAGCGCTGGTTACTTTTCATGGGGACAGGTATTTAGAAATCAAGATCTGGGCAGGGAAACTTTAATTTTGAAGTTAGTTTCGATCATAAAATCAAAAGGAATATATATGGATTTTTACAAATCATCATATTTATGGCTAATTTAGCTATTTCCTTTTTTCCCTTTGTGGTAAGAAAAAAAGAAACTTTAGCTTGTTTTTTTGGATTTTTCTTATTTACTTGAATTTAATTAATTCTGGCTACAATTATTAGCAACAGCAACTGTGGATCTTAAGTCTCTAGATAACTATCGAATATAATGTATCATCAAAATAAATTTGTGATGGAGGATTGCATAAGTTTTGAAATACTATAACAATCTGTGGAACCCTGAAGATAAGTGTAATGAAACATGGAACATCTCACTGAATTCATTTTAAAGAAATTGAATCAAAGCTCTATAAAATAACACTTTCTGCAGTCAGATGCTTGTTGCAAAAGATGTTTTGCTTTTTACAGTGGTGTGATATGTTGAAAACTGCTGTGGTAATACCTCACATTATTATTTTTATGTGATAAAGGCAAATGAAATATTAAATGTTTGAAATAAGTACATCAGTTTCTATTTTAACTGAAATTAAATATGTACTCTGTCTCTTGATAACAGATTTTTTTCAACAATGACATACTTTTGAAATATTGAAGATGAAATAAAAAGATCATATTTTATGTGTAATAGTACCAGGGGCAAAGACCAAATTCATTTGTTTGTTGCATATATTTCTCATTGCATTGGAATCACCTGGGTCACTTTTTAAAAATCCAAATTCCTGGGGCACCTGGGTGGCTCAGTTGTTAAGCGTCTGCCTTCGGCTCAGGTCATGATCCCAGGGTCCTGGGATCGAGCCCCACATTGGGCTCCCTGCTCCGCAGAACACCTGCTTCTCCCTCCCCCACTCCCCCTGCTTGTGTTCCTGTTCTCACTATCTCTCTGTCAAATAAATAAAATCTTAAAAAGAAAAAATCCAAATTCCTGAGCTCCACCCTGGTCCACTTAAACAGGATATCTCATGATCCAGGAATCTGTATTTTAAAAATCTTCCCAGATAATTCTGAGACATTTGATCATTAAGCTGATTTGGGAACTATTGGACATGGCAAAAAAAAATACATTTATATCAGGATGTAAGTCTCATTATATAAATAAGCTGCCCAAGGGCAGGAACTGTGCTTATAAATTTTTATAAGCCCAGCACCTATTATGAGCCCTGCATATAGTAGGCATTTGATATATGCTCATGAAAAGAATTTTGACTTCAAATTTTATTGCAGTCTTAATACCTAGTTTGTGCATGGAATACAACCCACATTAGGGATATTCTGTATTCATGTGAGAGGAACTACTTTGCACAGCAACCTGAAAGACAGTATTGGATTGGTGGACTGATTTCTAATGCAGAATAGCTGTGTTCAGTTATAACCCTGAATTCTAACATACTCTATGCTTCTGAAAAATGAAGAAAGAATGCTTACATTTATGATTGATCTAGTCTATACATTTCTCTGTCTTGTTCCCCTTTCCACTAAATGTTCTACTTATTGCCAGTATGGCTAGACAAAAAAAATAGTAGCTAACATTTGTATAACACAGTGGTTCTCAAGGAGTGGTCCAAGGAGTCTTGGGGTTCCTGAAACCCTTTCCGGTGATCCATAAGGTCAAGACTTTTTTCCTAGTAATAACAAGCTGTTATTTGCCTTTATCACTCTCATTCTCTGAGTGTACAGTGCAGTTTTCCAGAGGCTACATGATATGTGTATCAAAACAGATTAGGGGCACCTGTGTGGCTGAGTCAGCTAAGTGGCTGCCTTTAGCTCAGGTCATGATACCAGGGTCTTGGGATTGAGCCCCACCTTGGGCTCTCCACTGGGTGGGGAGTCTGCTTCTCCCTCTCCTCCCAGCTTGTGCTCTCTCTCATTCTGTCTTTCTCTCTCAAAAAAATAAAATCTTAAAAAAAAAAAAAGAAACAGATTAATGCAGAAAAGATATGAAAATTAGCTGTCTTCTATAACCTGGACATTATAAAAATTTGCAGGAATGCAAAACCATGCTACTCTTCTGTGTTTTTGGAAAATGTAGTTATTATTCATAAAATGTTATTTATATCAGCATAGAATGGGTTTATTATTTTTAATGACTGAATATTAATTCTAATTTCTAATATGTTGAGTTTTAATTTCTAACATGTTAAGTATTAATAAGTACAATACACTTATTGTACTTAGTTGCTTGGGATCCTCAATAATTTTTAGGAGGGGCGCCTGGGTGGCTCAGTTGTTAAGCGTCTGCCTTCGACTCAGGTCATGGTCCCAGGGTCCTGGGATCGAGCCCCACATCAGGTTCCCTGCTTGGCGGGAAGCCTGCTTCTCCCTCTCCCACTCCCCCTGCTTGTGTTCCCTCTCTCACTGTGTCTCTCTCTGTCAAATAAATAAATAAATCTTTTAAAAAAAATAATTTTTAGGAGAGTAAAAGGGTCTAAAAAGACCAAAAAGTTTGAGAACCAGTGATTTATGTTTTTACATCTTATTTTGCTTTATATAGACAAATATTGCCTGAAATTAGATTAAATTACACCAACTCTTTTTTTTTTTTTTAGATTTTATTTATTTGAGAAAGCGAGAATGAGAGAGAGAGAACACATGAGAAGGGGAAGGGTCAGAGGGAGAAGCAGACTCCCTGCTAAGCAGGGAGCCCGATGTGGAACTCGATCCCGGGACTCCCGGATCATGACCTGAGCCGAAGGCAGTCGCTTAACCAACTGAGCCACCCAGGTGCCCCTAAATTACACCAACTCTTATTAATGGATTTTTGTTCAACATTTATGTAATGATGATTTAACTTCTCTTTTCCCTTGTTCTGAGAAATGTTTGAGTTAGCTAGTACTTAACATTCTATGGGACCCCCAAGATGTTCCATAGTAATCTGTAACACAACTAGAACTTTCCATTATGAATTTAATAGACATGCTGCCTGGGATTCTTTGTTTTCTTTTCTCTTTCTTTCTCTTTTCTTTGCTTTCTTTCTTTCTTTCAGATTTTATTTATTTATTTGAGAGAGAGAGCACAAGCAGAGGAGAGGGGCAGAGGGAGAGGGAGAAGCAGACTCCCCACTGAACAGGGAGCCCAATGCAGTGTTCGATCCCAAGATCCTGGGATCATGACCTGAGCCAAAGGCAGACACTTAACTGACTGAGCCACCCAGATGATGCCCCTGGGGAAGGATTTCTATATCAGATTTTTCATTTAACAGTGAGCAGGCTCTAAATGGAGAGAGAAACGGAAAAGATTATATTGATAGTCGAGAAGCAAATAAGCAAAGATCCCTAACCCCTGTGGCAGGTAGATCCAGAGGACAACAGATTGAAGAATACTGCTACAAGTCCAGACCTTGGTGTCCTTCAGATCAGAACTGTGTCCCACTTGCAGAATTTACTGCATTACTTAGAGTCTTAGCTTCCCCCCCTGCAATTGAATACAAACTATCCATCCCACAGGGTAGTTGTAAATAAACATTGGATTGTATGTAAAGTGCTAGCACAGTGGCATGAACACAATGATTTGTTTTTCTTAGGTTAGTGGGGAGGGAGGGTCCTCTGAGAAGAAATGGAGAAAATAGTTGTTTCGCTTACTTCACAACTTAACCCAGTGAGAGTTCTGTTTGCGCCTTTTGTTTCCATGGTTGAGCCTTTTTCACAGCTCTTCGAAGGAAACTCTTGAAGAGGAATTTTTTATTTGAAAGTCCTCTGGTATCATAATCAAAATATTTTTATTCTATTTCTATAGCAAGAGAAGATCCGTTTCCATCCTCACTTCTGACAGTAACACCGTGGAGAAAAACACGTTATCAGTAGCTTAGGGGCTAAACTCTCCCACAGTGTTACTGTGCAAAGAGAACAGCTGAAAAACCCACAGAGTAGAGGAAGTGGTGAGGTTTCTAAATTCAAAAAAGCTTCAAGGTCAGGAAATAGAGAAGTTTTACTAGAAGCCTAAACCTAAATACAGTTCAAAAGGAATAATTCCCAACTCACTGTAGTCCAGTTTTCTTTTCACTGACTCCTTTATGCTTAGTCAACACGTAAACGGGTACCAACGAAGTGGCAGTAGGCACAAAAAATTCAATTTAACAGACTTTTTTGTGTACACTCATGTGCGTTGGAAAGAGGGGAGCAGAAGGAAAGGCGGAGAGCTTCTGGGAGCCCGCCCGCTTTCCCGCCTTAACATTGAGGGGGCGGGGCCCGAGGACGGGGCGGGGCCCGAGGACGGGGCGGGGCCCGAGGACGGGGCGGGGCCCGAGGACGGGGCGGGGCCCGAGGACGGGGCGGGGCGGGTTCTCCGTGCCCCACCCACACGTATTTCGCCACTATCCCAACAGGCCTAGCGGCTAGGAGAGTCACGTGAGGGTGGGCGGTGGAGGTGGAGTATTCTCTCCGCTGGTTTTTCATCTCTATGATTATCAGAGGCGGGCGGCGTTGACCCGAGAGAATTGGCAGCTCTAGTGTGGACAGGTGAGTCCTGGGCTCTGAAGGATGTGAAGGGACAGCCATTTAGGGAGGGCGACAGGGAAGGCAGGGCGAAGCAGCTTAAGGGATCTGACCTCCGGGGCCGCCCGTTTGTCGGCTCTGGGATCAGGCGACTTCTCAGGTCTGGCGGCATAGCTGTCTTCCCTCTTGCGCTCAGCTCAGGGGCCTGAGAGGAGTCCTTAGTCGTGTCTGCTTCCAGTCCTCCGCTTTCCTTCAGCTCACCTCGTCCCATTTCGCTGTCCCGGGAGATCTGCCAGTGCCGAGTTCCCAACCGCAAGGTTCACTTAGGCGCCCTCTCTCGCTTCTCGGTCAAGCAGGAGACGCACAGGTATATTTGACTGGTTCAGCTGGGATTTGTGGATGTGGGTGGAATTGGGTGATGGAGTTTACACTTAGATCTCTAATGGGTAGAAATATTAATCATTAAATCGAAAAAAAGAAGTAGAAAATCAGTGGGGACCCGAAGGAGCAAAACAAGTGCAGCCTTCTTGGACTATTCAGTTTTTATCTTTTCCAGTGTTTTCCTGTTCTCAGTCTCGCTCAAGTTTCCTTCACCATTCCATCCTGGCCCACCATAGGATGTTTTGAGAATGAGCCGAGGGTTAACTCTGTGCCAATGTTGAGAGAAGAGTTTAAAACTGGCTGTTCTTTAAGTTGCTGTCTCTGCGATCTTACGGTTTTCTTTTACTTCCCTTTCAGATGCCTAAAAAGTATTGCAGGTATTTGTAAATATAAGCAGAATAACCATTTTGTGGCCAAGGGACTAGAGTAAAATATTCCCCCTGTGCATCTGGAAAGACCCATTTTCTTTGTTACTTTTATAAATGTTTTTATTTCAGTTTTTAAGGTGGTTTGGATATACCTTTGTTTATGTTAAAGCATTCCTTGGGGTCATGTGTGCAAGTGATCTAGTAGTAGAAGAAAGGAGTTTGCAGACAAAGTGTACCGATTTGGGGTTTGATAGATGTGGGAGAGTTAAGGTTTAGAGTTAAGTTAAACCATATGACTAATTAATAAAACGTCCACATCTTGAGGCATAGCTGTTGCCCAGGATGACGAACAAGCTGTCTTTCTGGAGTTGGACAAGGTAATGAGCTTGTTGAGTATCACCTTATCTAAAAACGTTTTAGAACCTGCCACTTGTTTGTAAGAAGATGCCTCTGGCCTCCAGATGCTCTCTGTAGTCACCCTTGATAGGTGATTATCTCTTCCACTTAAGAACATCACTCTGACTCTTAAAGGTAGAAAACAAACTGAGGGTTGCTGGAGGGAGGTGGGTAGGGGATGGGCAAGATGGGTGATGGGTATTACAGAGGGCACTTGTTATGATGAGGACTGGGTGTTGTATGTAAGTGATGAATCACTGAATTCTACTCCTGAAACCAATACTATACTATATGTTAACTAACTAGATTTTATTTTTTTATTTTTTTTAAAGATTTTATATATTTATTTGACAGAGACACAGAGGGAACACAAGCAAGGGGAGAGGGAGAAGCAGGCTTCCCGCTGAGCAGGGAGCCCGATGTGAGGCTTGATCCTGGGAGTCTGGGATCATGACTTGAGCTGAAGGCAGACGCTTAATGACTGAGCCACCCAGGCGCCCCAACTAACTAGATTTTAAATAAAAATTGGAAGGAAAAAAAAAGAACATCACTCTGGCCATCTGATTATGTCAAGAAAGTGTCATTGGCGCCTTCTGAGTGTCCTTACTGAAGATTATAAAACACAGAGTAATACAAAAAGAGAAGATTCAGGAGTAGGTTCTGAGCTTAGGAAGAAAGGGAAAGAGTGATAGAAGCTAACAAAAGCAAGAGAATAAAAGCATGTATTGCTGTCTTCCTTTGTAATTTATAGACTATTTACTGTATTCAGCAGACCTTTTACATTCTCAGAGACTGACTTTACTATATTTAAGAAGAAACAGTGGTATGTAACTTCTCCCATAATGCAATATTGTGTAAAATAATTATAACTAAAAGATTTAACTGACCCTTCAGGTCTTATATTATTTAGAATTTATAGGACTAAAGTAATTGATAAAGTTATTAAACCTAATTTGGTCACTTTCTTTCTTTTTTTTTTTTTTTTAAAGTAGGCTCCCTGCCTATCATGGAGCCCAGCTCGGGGCTTGAACTCAGGACCCTGAGCTCAAGACCTGAGCTCAAGACCTGAGCTGAGCTCAAGAGTCAGAAGCCTAACCGACTGAGTCACCCAGGTGCCCCCTAATTTGGTCACTTTTAATCTTTAGTTTTAGTGAGTAATTTTTATAGTGGCTGTAAAACTTGCTGAAATGTTAACCAATTTTTTCCATATAGAATTGTTTCATATATTCCTTTTAAAAAGAGAAACTTTTTTTTTAAAGATTTTATTTATTTGACAGAGACACAGCGAGAGAGGGAACACAAGCAGGGGGAGTGGGAGAGGGAGAAACAGGCTTTCCGTGGAGCAGGGAGCCCAACACGGGGCTCGATGCCAGGACCCTGGGATCATGACCTGAGCCGAAGGCAGACGCCTAACGACTGAGCCACCCAGGCGCCCTGAGAACCATTTTTTTTTAAGAGAACCAATTTTTTTTTTAAACTTTTACTCACAAACCCCCCCACTCAAAACAAAAAATGGCTTGTTTTTGTGCCAAGAGAAAAAGTTGATTCTTTTAAAATAGATTTTCTCTACACTTTGAAAATTATGATAAAATTGTTAATGCTTTTAAGACATTAAATATTGGTATCTGAGCATATTTGAGAAGAAAACAGGCAGTATTTTTTAATGTTTTATATTTCCTATTATAGAAGTGTATGTGCCTGTTTTTGAAAAATGGAAACATTATGGAAAATATAACATTGAAAGTCGAAATCCTAGTTTATCTTTTCCCCTGCCAGCAGGTAACCACTAGTTCCTTTTGGATATTTGGGAATCAGTATGGAAAAGTAGAGTCTCAAGTAAAACTCCCTGGGAGAGATGGTACTAATAGCATCAGGCTTACATCCTACAGCCTTAGAAACTCCAAAAGAGAGAGAACTTCCCTTTCTCTATGATTCCAACAGACTACCGTGTGGGAATTTCATTAACCTGACTGTGTCTTTGGGGCATCTGGGTGGCTCAGTTGTTAAACGTCTGCCTTCAGCTCAGGTCATGATCCCAGGGTCCTGGGATTGAGCCCCTCATCGGGCTCCCTGCTCTGCCAGAAGCCTGCTTCTCCCTCTCCCACTCCCCCTGCTTGTGTTCCCTCTTTCGCTGTCTCTCTCTCTGTCAAAAAATAAAAAAAAAAAAGAGTTGTGTTTAACCTGACTGTGTCATTGCCTATCCTAGAGGCAGTCTCTATGGCTAGAGTGACAGAATGCTTTGTGTAATCAGGGTTGGATCTTGTTCTCCCCATGGAGTGGGGTGTAGGCATACAGTTTTAAACCACATGAATTAAGAGTAAACAACATCGGGGCGCTTGGCTGGCTCAGTCGGTAAAGCATCCCCCTGTTGTTGTGGTTGTGAGTTTGAACCCATGTTGGATGTAGAGATTACTTAAAAAAAAATTAGGCAACAAAAGTATGGTTCCTCTTTAGGAAAATTGAGGTGTCGTTTCCTGGAGAGGAGAGAAAGATTGCTGGACAGACAAAAAACATATGTTCACTGAAATGATTTTACGTGTATTTGTTTTTTTTTTAATTTAGAGAACTTGCTTTCCTTTCCCAATATAAATTAATTGTATTTTACAGTTTGAGTGTTATTTTTTTTTAAATGTCTATTTTTTAAATCTTTTATTTTATTAACTAATGGAACTTGAAATTTAAACTCTTCAAGTAGTATATATTTGTTATATGTTTAGTACCTGTGCTCTGGAGTGTTCAGTTTTTCTAACTTTATATTATATACACAAATATATTGTGTATTTAGCCCTTTTGTTAAAATCATTTATTGGTAAATATTTTTATTACTGTGGGTAAACTTGATTAACAAATTGCAGTTTATAAATAATATGTAAAAATGTTCTGAGTAATTTAAGTATATGTAGTCAATATGGTTGAATGCTTGATTCTTTTAATTATTATGTGTTTAAAAACCTGTTAGTATAGAAACCACTTCATTTTGAGCATTGTATGAAAAATAAATGACTATAATTGTCACAAATTGCTGTCACTGGGTATTAACTTTAAAACTATAGTTAACATTAATGTCTGCTTTTGTATCTTTATGGATTATTCTGAGGGTTCATTATATATATTTTTTAAATTTAATTTTATTATGTTATGTTAATCACCATACATCATTAGTTTTTGATGTAGTGTTCCATGATTTATTGTTTGCATATAACACCCAGTGCTCCATTCAATACGTGCCCTCTTTAATACCCATCACCAGGCTAACCCATTCCCCCCACCCCCTGAGGGTTCATTATATTTTAAGAGAAAATATAATTGAAGTAACATTGTTTACTCCACTGTTTTGATTTTGTTTAGAAGAAAAGTTAGCAGTTCAATTCAGTGGACATTTGAGCTTAATTGCTACCACTGGTGTACACACTTTAGACAGATTTATATTCTTAAAACCCAATTCCATCACTTCTTGATGTTGAGCAGAATTTGAGTTTATTCCATTTGCAAAATAGAAATAATAATTCTTATAGGGGTCTTGTGAGGAGTAACTTAACTTATGCCAAGTGCCTAGGATGTAGTAAGGTTCTCATTAAATGTAATTGTTAGTAATAACAACAACAAGAAATAGTGTCTAAAAAGATTTTATCTCCCCAATTTCAGAATGTTTAGCCCCAGGAGTTTAAATGTATATATAGGTGTTAAGGAATTAGTCAGATAGTTCTTTTTTCAGGTTTGTCTTTATTTTAGCAGGGGTGTGTGTGTGTGTGTGTGTGTGTGTGTGTTGGCGGGGGTGGGGGGCCTTGAACTCACAATCCTGAGATCAAGACCTGAGCTGAGATCAAGAGTCGGACACTTAATCCACGTAAGCCACAATTTTAGCAGATTTTTAATTCC